CTGGGAGGAGCACGCTGCAGATGAAGCCGCTGCCAGCAGGACCTGCCTGTTCCCTTAGCGCCAAACTGCAGCTCACGCCGAGGACAGTCGATCCGCAGCTGAAATTTCAAACTCAATTAGCACCGAGACAGGCTGGAGCTGCTCCCGAGTAACTAATCATCGCGGAGCTGCCAAGTGCTCTACCTGGGATGTGCTGTGAACCTCAAGGTTTAGCTCTTCAAGCACTAATAACAGGGCACAGGCAGACTGCCATTTAACATTCAACTTGAAAGTGAGTTTCTGAAGTTCCTTTCCCCATGTAAGGACTGGCTGGGAAGGAGAGTGGGGGAGGGATGGCAGAGACTGGGGAAAGTGACTGCCTGCGTGTCCTAGAGAGTGAAGCCTGATTATTCGCTGCCTCTTGTCCCCAATCTCGGGACGTGCAGATCCTTGGGCCTGGAGAGGGCTCAGCCGTGAGCAGGTGGAATGGGGCTGGCCCACCCTGTCCTGTCGGCCCAGAACCATGAGGCTCCCCATCATCTTCCACATGCTGGAGATGTGGAGGCTGGGGGCATGGACAAGAAGGGTGCCTCATCCTTTTCTGTCTTCTACCCACAGACCTGATGGCCGAACAGTGCCTCCTGTCAGGTTTGCAGGGGCTCCAGATCTTGTGAGAATCCTGGTGTCGTCCCTGCCCCTCCCAACTCCAGTGCCCTTAACAGGCTCTCAATTTAGCAGCAGGCCCACACTCTGACACCCTAAATGCAATGGTGAGTTTGCACATTAACACGGAAAGATCAGCCTTTCGTGCAGTCAGTGGTGTGAAGTGGAAAAACATCACTCTGTACCAAAAGGCCAATTCCCAATTTAGTTCAGAAAAAAAAAAAAAATCTGGACCACCTTTCATAGACCTCCTCGCTCCATTCTGTCAGCTCCTGCTGGGCACCCGGGGGATTCACCATAACCTAGTCAGCAGACAGCATTGAGTAATTGCATCCCGGCCTCTCGTGGCCACGGGAAGCATTGGCAAGACAGAGGGGTCAAGTTCTGGCTGTGGGCTTGGCTCAGGCCATACACAGTGCAGCATGCTTGGGGACAGCAGGGCCAGTCCCTTGCTGCTGCGGAGCCACAGAGCCCGGCCTCGGCCAGCCTGGCAGCCAGCCCCTCCATGTGCTGCTGCGTGAGCCCCTCTGCGTGGCCCCTCATCTATAAAACAGGGAAAACACCACACACCCGCTGCCCCTGGGATTAAATTAGACAACAATACAGTGCACCTGGCAAGCATAGGTGCTGTGCTGTGGGAGTCCTAACTAAGTCACATAAAATACCGTGTAGGTCGGGCCTAGACGTCACTCTTGAACAGTCTATTTCTAATTAAAAAAAAAAAATTCTTTTGTAGAGATGGGGTCTTGCTATGTTGCCCAGCCTGGTCCTGAACTCCTGCACTCAAGCCATTCTCCTGCCTCAGCCTCCCAGAGCTCTGGGGTTATAGGTGTGAGCCACTGTGCCTGGCCCACCCTTGGGCAGTCTAGCTCATGGGGACCCAGCACCCATTGCTGGCCACCTTCCTTTCAGTGACAGGCACTAAAGGATGGCTCTGAGGCCTGGTGGCCATCCTCACAGCAGCGGTGTCTCTGGCTTCCCTTGCGGTCCACCGTCTTGAAACTGACCCCAATCCACCTTGGTCTCTATTTGTGTCAACTTCAGGGCAGTGGATTCTATTTCAGTGGGAGACACACAAAGTCAGCCTCCCTCACGTTCATCTCCTGGAGTACCCAGCCTTTGAGCGTTTGGCAAATGAACCCATCACCCTTCCAGTCCCTCTCCCCTTTCTGGATCTCAAATATACTCCTGTTCAGCCTTGGCTGAAGGATGAGAATGTCAGAGATGGGAAGGCCTTAAATGCTAGCTGCCCAGGCTCTTGTTCTCCTCCAACGTCCTATTTCTTTTAGAGGGTGGTGGGTATGTGATCTCACTCACTCTATCACCCAGGCTGGAGTGCAGTGGTGCGATCTTGGCTCACTGCAACCTCTGCCTCCCTGGTTCAAGCAATTCTGCTTCAGCCTCCTGAATCGCTGGGACTACAAGGCATGTGCCACCATGCCCGGCTAATTTTTTTTTTTTTTTTTTTGTTTATTTGGAGATAGAGTCTTGCTCTGTCGCCCAGGCTGGAGTGTAGTGGCGTGATCTCTGCTAACTGATTCTAGCCGATGACAGAATGATTCCAGGTGTCACAATATCTTTTTAATTTTTTTACTTTTTAAAACGTTTATTTTTTTTTTTTTNTTTTGTATTTTTAGTGCAGACAGGGTCTCACCATGTTGGTCAGTCTGGCCTTGAACTCCAGACCTTAAGTGACTCACCCGCCTTGGCTTCCCAAAGTGCTGGGATCACCGGCGTGAGTGAGCCACCGTGCCTGGCCTCAACCTCCCTCTTTAATTAGGGACTGTTAAAAATCGGGAAAACAGAAGAGCAGGCAGCAGGTGCACCCCCACCATCCAGCCTCCCTTGGACCGATCTGCTCCGTCTCCAAGCCCCCAGCCCCTCCACCATCACTGGATCTCCAGCCTTGCATCTCATGGATGAGGGCACGGGGTTCTCAGATGAAGGGACTTCTCTAGGCTCCTGCCACTGGTAGCAGAGGACTGGGGAGCAGGCCTGGGCAGTGTGCCCGCCCCCCGCCACCTCCCCACATCCTTCACACCATCACAGCCACGCTCTTCTGATGCTGTTATTTATTTAATAGTCACACTTTTTCACCTAAATAAATGTATTTTAAATGGACACTTCGTATCACTCCTGTAAAGGGGAAACCAGCATCATTTGCCATAAATAGAAGGTTTCTCTGAAGATGACACAGAGAAGACAAAACCAGTGCTGTTTAGTTCCAGGTAGAAGCAGGGCCTGCCTGAGGCTGGGAGCGCAAGGAGGCTGCTCTCTTTTGAAAACAGGGACTGGCGGGAATTGGAGCCACCTTTAGTGCCAATGGGGACATGCTCAGACTTGCTGCCATTGGGAGGATTCAAACAGTTAAAAACCCAGATCGCTTTCTCACGATGAGATTTACCAGGACCACAAATCCGTCAATTCACAGATAGATGCTTTTCCACACTCAAATGTCTCCGGCATGTGCTGTCTGCCAGTTGGCAGTCACGACATGCGTGTCATTATCTGCACATGCTCCAACTTGGTCACAGCTGGTCATACTGTCGTCACTTCAGATGAGCTATGCACATCGTTCCTACCTCACTGGGTCAGCTTACTTGCCGTTTAAATATCTCTGGAAAGATGTGTAGCACTGAGACAAAATGTTATTATGTACCCAATATCCTCAATTCCATGTTTTCTTGCAATGCAACAAACTAACAAGTGTCTTCTAAGATCAAAGATAGGAGGGCAGGCAAGTCAACGAAGCTGTGTGCTTGTCAGTTACTGGAAGTCGTCACAGGATCGCCTACCACAGTCTAAACAGTAAGACTTAAGGCAGGAGACATGACCACCCCCTTGGAATAGAAGGAAATTTCAGAGCAATGAAAGGCTGGTGTGACAGACTCACGTGTCACACAGGATCGTCATTCAGACAGGGGTTTCACTGGCAGCATGTTTTTCTTTATTAGTGGTTCGTCATGATATGTCCACTTCCTGGGGTAGCTCTTAAGTGGAGGAGAAATGTGTCTACTGTCTTTAAGCCGCCGTATTTTTGGACCTCTGTGTTACAGAACCTCACAGAATCTGGAACGTGACAAACTAGGTATGGCATTTAATCTACAGCCACCCCTGGTATGGAAATGTCCTGCCCTACCCTATGTGCCTCTCCCACTTCCCCAAGTGGGGCATCAAAAGCCCGGCCATTTCTCCTGGGCAGAGGCCTTAGGCGCTAGCACATGTGGCAGTCACCTGGAGGCTGCTCAAGATCGGGCTGCTGGACCCCACACCAAAGCATTTGTAATTCTTTTTTCTTGAGAGGGGGTCTTGCTCTGTTTCCCAGGCTGGAGTGCAGAGGAGTAGCCTTGACCTCCCATGCTCAAGTGATCCTCCCACCCCAGCCTCCAGAGTAGCTGGGTCTAGTCACACACAGCCATGCCTGGCTATTTTTTTTTTTTTGGCTTTTTTTTTTTTGGTAGAGATGGGGCTTTACCATGTTGCCCAGGCTGGTCTGGAACTCTGGGCTCAAGCAATCCACCTGTCTCAGCCTTCCAAAGTACTGGCATTACAGGTGTGAGCCACCACGTCCACCTGAGGATGTGCATTTCTGATGCCCCACGGTGGCAGTGTTTCGGGTGGAAGGACTCCACGTGGGCAGGCACCGTCTTGGAGCCCTCGGCACTAAACTCTCTTCCTTCTCTGGCTCTTTTCAGCCAGGGGTGGGGGAAAGGCTGGGAGGTACCAGAAGCCAGGGAGGACCCACTGGTTCTTTTGGACATCTCAGAAGGCATCGTGTCTCGACGCTTTGTTCATAGCAAAACAAACATTGTTCTAATGTGGGCCTGGCCAAGTGCGCCCTGGGCGATGCTCCCACCATCCTCAAGCCCTTTGCCAGTTTAATGATCTTCACAGAAACAGGTTATGGCTTTAAAAGTTGGTGCCGAGGCACTGAACGAACTCGGGAGATGGGGCTGAGACCGAATCACAGTAATATTTAGGGCAAAACCTGGGGCGAACAAGCCAACGCCCCTTTGGGTCCTGCTTGCATGCGTCTGGCCAGCTAACCCGGGCGGGTTCCTTTCCCTCTGGGGTGTGCGTGTGACTGGTTTAGTAAAAAGAAACTTCTGCGTGATCTTTTTCTCAAAAAGAATCATCCATCTTTCAAGCCATCACAACATCTCTGAAATAGAGGATCTGCCAGCGCTGCCCTCTCCCCTGAGAGCAGGATGCAGGGCAGGACCCGCTCCAGAAGAACCACCCCGCAAACGGGACGTACTGGTTTCTGTTTCCTTAAAAGGCCCAAGCCCGTTATGCATTCATGAACTGAATGTGTTTGTTCTTACAAGGTGCTATAAGAAACAGGAGACAAAGCCTTGTTCATGGTACAAAAGGTTTATTGCTTACAAAAATAAGTTACCAAACCCCAAAAGCCACACAACGACCGTGCATGACAATACCTATGAACACAAGGGCTGGTACCAGTAACAGTCACGAAATCACAGATGGGCATCGCCCAGGGAGGAGCACACACGAACGAGGAGCATGCTGCTCGGCTTCCTTCTACCAGGTTCTATCAACATCTTCTTGGCCTTCAGTCCATTGGCTAGTGGGAATAATTAGTCCCATCAGTCACAGAGAGGGTTCTGCTCTTCAGGAGGTTCAGCCTCAGCACTCATGCCGCTGTTTTATGAAAGGGAGGAGCGGCTGTACTGATTTGGGTGGTGAGGAACCATCTGAGCCTTCCGTGGGCTTCCTGTGTGTCTGGGGAGGTGCCGGGTGGGGTCTGAGGCTGCGGCCAGGGTGGGGGCTACTGCCGGCAGGTGTCGTGGAAGGCTTCAAGGGTTCGGAAATCCCTCCATGTCGGGGGAAGGCCGTCCTGCAGAAACTTCCCGCAGCGCTGGCACGGGGCCTGGAATAGCTTTATGTAACTCCTTAACCAGGTCTAAAAAGAGAAACGAGGAGAGAAGTGACAGGATGGGATACAGTAGCTCCCACAGTCCTCCTTCCAATCAAGCCTAATGACCCAGACAGCCGAAGCTGGCCGTGGCCCCAGAAGATGCCCCGTGACTTCACAGAGAGCAGCAGGCGGAACCCACAAGGTCACCTGACTGCCGATGTCCACTTGTGAGGCTGGCTTGCCCTTCCCAGCTGAGGGAGTTTTAAAAATAGAAAGCCCTACTCTCAAAAGCAGGAAGGGCTCCCTGGAGTCCCTGTGAACCACTGAGCAGCCCGAAGGTCTGGGGACCAGCACCCTACTTTTGCTTTCCAGGTCCCGTGTCTTCTGAATGTCAGTATCCATCTCTTCTTGCCCACCACTGAGGTGGCTGTGGATGTGAGCTAAGGAAGCCCTGGAACCGTTGACAATTGCAGAGTTCTCCACTGAGGTCAACACGCCTTCTAGCTAATGTGATTTCAAAGGTCGTCACTCACTGTCATAGTGTGGCCTAACACACCGGGGGGATGGGCAGGGACAGCCCTGGTGCCACCAAATAACATCATCAACAGCAAACCCACACTTGAGTGGTTCAGAGTGCAGAGCTTTCCTGGGCATCATACATAAGGATGAGCCTCCCATAACTCAATTCTCAAACTCAAGGAGATTCACTACTAAAGAAACAATACCCAAACCCCACAACAGCAGGTAAGCAAGTTCTCGCTGTGAAAGGGGCATGTGAATCTCGTCATTCAACGTCCTCCTGAACTATGTCGATAAGAGAAAATTGTTATTTGAAGAGGTCGGCCGAGCTTATTAATACAAATCCTTCCATCTTTACCACAGCTGCCTTCATGGTGACAGGGCATGGTCCATCAATTCCAGCCCCATTTCCAAAGGCCAGGTGTTTGGGGGTTTTGGCAATACATATGAAGTCAAGAGGTCATTTAAACTATTTATACTGCCCTAAGTGGAAGAAGTTCTGTCTCTGCCACAGATAGTACTCATGTCTGTGCCTCAAATCAATCAATCAACAGATACTTATTAATTAGCTGGTGTGGGCTGAGCACAGTGCTGGGTGCTGTGACAGATGTAAGAGTTCTTTTTTTTTTTTTTTTTTTTTTAAAGAGATCAGATCTCGCTCTGACACCCAGGCTGGAGTGCAGCTGTGCAATCAAACATAGCTCGCTGTAACCTCGAACTCCTGGGCTCAAGCCATCCTCCTGTTTCAGCCTCCAGAGTGGAGCCACTGGGATTCAAATCTTCCCTAAATCCCAAAGTCAGTTACCAAACGGGAAGTGGGCGTTACAACATGCCAGGTTCAAAAGCAAGTCTTTGTGTGTATTGGAAATTGGAGATCTTGCTGAAGATGGCTAAAGGAATCGTTCCCTGGACACACAGAAGGACCACTCGTGGGGAGCTCTGAGCACCTGGCTGTGCTGTGCCCAACCTGCCACCACCGTGGAGCCAATCAATGCACCAGGGATATGTCTTCCGAGAAAGGAACTACAGGCTCTCTGAGCAGTGTGATGGTCGGTGCCCGTGTGATCGGATGAACTGTGAGCCATACCACATTCAGCTGTCAACACTGACTGGCCTTGCTAACAGGTAAGTCTTTGGAGTGAGTTCTCCAACTGGCAGACTTTCTAGCATGAAGGAAACAGGGAGTCCCAGCTGCAGTGGCTGATGGGGCCTGCTGGCATAAGAGCATGCAGCCATGTGAGCCTGATGGTAAAACAGCTGGCTACGTCTGTCAAGGACATGGGAGACATAGTGTTAGCCCTACTTAGGCCAACTGGTGGCCGTGTGATAAATGCTGATAAACTAGCCCTGGGGGGCAGGGAAAGCCCTGACTTGTAGCGTTTGCTGATTTCCGTGGTGTCAACACTCCCACCAAGTTTGATTTCAAACTAGCCGTGGGTGAAGGACCGCCCGCAAGATCCTGAACGGGAAGTGGCAGGAGCTGGCTCCAGCACACCGCGGGCATGGCTGCTCTGGGGCCGCTCCCATCTCGAGTTCCAACTCTTAAAATCTAAGGAGTAAATGTCTTGGGGAACTGCATGATTTGTTAACTCATTGCCATATGCTCTGCACCAACCACAGGGCCTGGCCCAGATTAGGAGCTCAATGAAGTATCTGTGGACTCAGTCAATGCTGGGAACTATTTTGCATAATCATTTCTGAAACCACCACTTTTCCAGCAAAGAAAGAAAGCACCAGTGAATGAAGCTGGAAGTGGTTTCTCCCAGGGCCTTCCCAGTTTAAAGAAAGCAGCAGTTTTAAACTGGCAGCCCCATCTCCCACCAGGAGGCCTCAAAGTCTGAAGAGGCAACAGCTCCCTTCATGCTGCCTGTTCTCACTTGAAGAGATCCAAAGTTTCAACAGGAGACCTGACTCTTGAAGCCACTTACCATGAAGGATCTGACCACAACATCCGGCATCTGGGGCAGCTGGTAGTGGAGCAGGGCAGTGGTGGCGTGGTCTGTCACCTGAGAGGGAAGGACAATGACAAGTTAGCAGCCACTCTGAGCTGGCAGAGAGAAAACAAGCAGGACAAATGCATGTCCTCTGTGTGAAAACAGATCTGAGCATCTCGTGGACAAAAGGGCATCTAAAGTAAAATCTCAGTAGAAAAATGAGTTAGCAGAGTTGCGGACCCAGAGTGGGAGAAGAGGCATGCTGTCAGCAGAAAGGAAGCAGGCCTGAAGGCAGGAGGGGTATGGACGATTCCAGCAGCTGAAAACCTGGCCAGCCTGGAGCACTGGGAGAGGGAGTGGCCAGAGGCCAGTGGGGGCCAATCCCCGGGGGGATCCCAAGCCTCCCTGCCCAGCGAGACATGGCACACATAGCACATGCGCCAAGAAGCACTTCTGCCTGGCGCACACACTTCCTCTTCCTCCCGGAAAGGTTTTCCCGACAGGGCAATTGTCTCTTTCCATTTCCTTGAATTCTCATTCTGTCACCATTTGTAGCCACCCAGGCTTTATGGTGGGAAGCCTGACCGTTTCTGAGGTTGTTCCCTTGGGTCTCACAGTTGCTAGGATAGCCCTTCGGAGGAGCCCCTCGCATCTGGTGTGGCCCCCTCACCAGCTCTCTGAAGGCTGTGTCCTGTGGCCAGCACCCCAGAGGTCTGTGCCTGCTGTCTCCTGACTCCTCAGGAGAGATTTATCAGCGAGGGCCAAGGGAAAGGCCACTTGAGATCCAGCAAAGGCATCAGGTTGACCAGATGGACGGAGCACAGGGTCTAAGCTCTGGCACACCCCCCTGCCCCAACCTTGATCCAGCTACTTATCCTCCCTGCGTTTCCAAGCTCCTTCCGAGAAGCAAAGAGGCTGGCTGGCGAGCCCTGGTGGTTCTGAAGCTGGATGACGCCGTGAATTGCTAATGCCTGCCATCAATCAGCAAATGAGTAGATTATACTAATTTGATAGTCATGTTCAAAGTAATGGTTTACATGATTGTCCTCATTAGGGATTCTTGACATCCCACATGTCATCATTAAAAACAAAACAGGCCGGTGCAGTACCTCATGCCTGTAATCCCAGACCTTTAGGAGGCTGAGGCGGGTGGATCATTTGAGCCCAGGAGCTCAAGACCGGCCTGGGCAACAGAGTAAGACCCCACCTCTATAAAAAACACAAAAAATTAGCTGGCTGTGGTGCCACACAGCTATAGTCCCAGCTTCTTAGGAGGCTGAGGTGGGAGGATCATCTGAGCCTGGGAAGTTGAGGCTACAGTGAAAAGTGAGTGTGCCACTGTACTCCAGCCTGGGCAACAGAGACCCTGTCTCAAACAAAACGAAACAAAAAACCACATTTAAAGAATAAAACCCAAAAAACTCCAGAGAAAGTCCTTAGCTTTGAGAACAAGAATGAACACAGGTCTAATCTGTGTAGATGTGTCCATGTTCTAGCCCCCGCAACACTGTGTATGCTGACGAACCCAGGCAGTGGTGGAGCACACTGGGCAGGCGGAAACCAGAAGTGCTGGTCCGGGACCCGCACGGTGAGCTGCAAATGACCTCGAATTAGTCCAGCTGTGTGTCCACAACCACAGCTGGAGAGGCTGCCCCACAAAAAAGCGCAAGGACACGGACTCTGCAGACAGGCAAGCCGGAGCCTGGCTCCCTGGCCTCCTATGGAGCCTCTCTAAGCCTCAGTTTCCTGTTCCATAAAATAGAGATTGTACTACATACTGCAAAAGGCTGGTGAGAGGACTGAGCGAGGCCAGGTGTGGGAAGCACTCACTCTCCGGCGATGCTACCAGCCCCGCCTGCCTGTTCTCCTCTGCCTGGGCCCTGGACTTGTCCTATTTCCCACTGGACTTTCATGGCCTGCCTGATGGCTGCTGAACACCAGACAGATCAACAGCTCCTTGGGGCAGGGATCATGTCCGCCTGATTCGTGCTGCATCCCCAGGGCCTAGGATATCACCCTTGCATACAGCAGGTGCTAAATACATAGTTGTTGAATAAAGAAGTAAACTTAAAAACGCCCACTCACTGAAGGCCGTGTACCATAAACACCTGCACTTTGTTGCAAATACATCAACAGTTCATGTAGCCAACATGGCCGAGAAATTCTTATCCAAGTGGCTTTCAAGATAAATGGTACTTATTCCTTTGAGTGCCAAGGCTGCTTTTATTTTAAGCATTTTTGACAGACAGCTTTCTAAAATGAGCAATGCTTTTTTTTTTTTTTTTTAAACAGTAGTAATGATAACTTTGCAAAATGACTGGTGGTAATTGGTGGAGGGAAGGTAACGGCTAAGAAACGCAGCAAAGCAAACTGGGCTCAAACGGTCCCTGAACTTGAACGCTTGGTTCTTGCCCATCTAGCTCCCTTGCTAAGAAAACCCGTGAAAGTGCCATTTTATGGGCCAACAAGAGGTTTTTTGCAATTATACTTGCCATTGCAGAAGAAACAAAGTTTGTGAATTCTTTCTCCTGACCCTACCATTTATTTTTAAAATGTCTCCAGTGAAGCCCCTGTTGGAACGGCCAGGGCGGCAGGGCTGGCTTTGTTTGCTCTGGCCCTGCTGTTCTGTAGCTCCGGGTGTGACAACTTCCCTTGATGGGAACATCCGTCCCTGGGAGGCCCCTGGGGTGAGGCCACCTACATCCACTTCAGCCCTTCAGCAGCCACGTGCAGGCAGAGAGGCTTTGTCTGGCTGCACTTTTGTTTATTTTGTTTTCACATTTTTAAACGCAAATGACCAACACTTAAAATTCGGGAAAGTTTACCTGTGGTGCCCAGCTCCTCTGGAAGCATCAGAGGATATGGGGACTGTCTCACAGGCTACTGTGAAGACTAAACGGGGCCCAGCTTCTTCTCATCTCTGTGACTGTGACCCTGGCACAGCAGCTGCAGCAGCTGAGCGGCGGTGACACGTGCAGTTTGCCCGAGCACCCCAAGGTCTCAGATCCAGCCTGCTCCCCTCACAGGGGACCTGTGAGGCCCTGTGGCCTTTGGAGTTTACAGCCCCTAACCAAACCAACAAGACCCTCTGCCCCCAAGATGCCCCAAACCCTCCCCAGCCCTGCTGCTCCCTGGGTACCTGGACGGGCTTCCTGATCTTTATTTGAGCTCATCTTCCCTGGCCTTACAGATCTGTGCCCATCTCTTCCCTTCCTTAGCTGACTTCTGGACTTGGCCTCCTCTGGCTGAACTTGAGTTCTCCAAGTATTCTGAGACAAACCTAGTTTTGATAACTGCAAGGTGCTATCTCCAGGCAAGGCATTGTGCGAATTACAGGAACATCTCAAGTGATCTTCCAGAACTGCTCCTTCTCCAGCGTTTTTGCTAAATGGTCCTTCACCCAGAGGCCCAAGCCAGAAACCCGGGCCCCGCCCTGTCATCTGCCTCCCCCGCCTCGTACTCAAGCAGGCTGGTGGTTCCATTATTTATCTCAAATCCTTCTACGTCTTCCCACCTTGCCTGCCTCAGCACAGCTAAGAGGGAACACTCAGCAGCAGAGGGGGAGAGTGTGCGCTCCTCCCTCCAGCAGTGCAGCCTTGGGCAGGGACTTCACCTTCATTAGCTGCCGTTTTCCCGTCTGGAAAATGGGGACAATGACAAAGAGTGCCCACCACAGGGGATGACTGTGAGGATGAAGGTGTGCAGAAGTGAGTGCTGGTCAGAAAGCAGGAGTGATTGCCATCACTCACCTAGAAACCCAACTGTGTCACTCCCCCACTTAAACCCTCTTACAGCTTCCCCTGCACTCAGGATGAATTCGAACGGACATGTGAAACCCTGCAGTGCCCGGTTTCCGCCTCCTCTCCCTGGGTGCCTCAGTTCCCTGAGTCCTTCCCTTGGCATGGACCTCTCCTTTTCCCTCCTCTCCTTCTCGTGTTGAGGGAAGCCCCCCAGACTCCCCGATGGGCTTGTGTCCTTGCCTGGCTCTCTTCCCCATCTCACTCCTCATACCTGAACTTGGTATTTTCTGTCACGTTTGTTTAGTGTCAGTTTCCCTACCTTGAGCCCATGTCCGTCTAGTGCCTGACACGGAGGTTCTCAGTATGTGTGTGGATGGAGAGAAGGACCCCTACTCCGACTCCCTGTGGGGAGAGTGGCTCAGATAAGGTGGGTGGAGCCAGGGGCCTGGAAGGGGTGGGGACTGGGGGACAGGAGCTGAGGACACGGCTCTGATCTACCTCCAAGGTGCTGGGGTGTCTCGGAGTTGTCCTCTGCGGTAGAAGCCACCAATGGTCACCTGTCTGCTTCTCCTCTGCTTCCTGGGTGCACCAGAAGACTTTCCGGCTTCACAGTTACTTATGCTGGACGCCGTGGACGGCTCTGGCTGCCGCACCAGAAGGGGATGATGTGCGCTGCTGTCCTGGAGGCTGAGGGGCGAGTGTGGATTCCCCAGACTCGCTCTCTTCCCCTCTTCCCCTGCGACCTTGGAAACCACACACTAAGACGGTGGAGTCACCAGAGGGTGGGGTCCTGTTTTGCCTGGGTCCTTGAGTGACACAGACCTGTCACAACTCAGGATGGACATGTAACATGAGGAGGAAATGGGCTTGAATCGGGTGGGACTACAGGAGGTTTATCACTGCGGCATTCTTCTGCTCTCTCCAGACCAATCTGCCTTTCTTGGATATTCACTGCACATCCAGAAAAATGGGCCACAGTGCTGGCTAGGACTCCCAAGCCCGTTACAGTGGTGGCACAACGAACGAGTTCCAGCTGTGGCCAAGGAGCTCTCCCCTTGAAAGTGCTGCTGCCAGCATCTGGGAGTTTGTTAGAAATCTGCCTTCTTGGCCGGGCGTGGTGGCTCATGCCTGTAATCCCAGCACTTTGGGAGGCTGAGGCGGCTGGATCACCTGAGATCAGGAGTTTTGACCAACATGGAGAAACCTCGTCTCTACTAAAAATACAAAATTAGCCAGGGGTGATGGCGCATGCCTGTAGTCATAGCTACTCGGGAAGCTAAGGCAGGAGAATCACTTGAACCTGGGAGGCGGAGTTTGCGGTGAGCTGAGATCGCACCATTGCACTCCATCCTGGGCAAAAGAAGGGAAACTCTGTCTTAAAAAAAAAAAAAAAAAAAAAAAAAAAAAAAAAAGAGAAAAGAAATCTGCCTTCTTGGGCTCCTCTCTAGACACAGCATTGGAATCTCCAGGGTGGGGCCCAGACACTAAGCCAGCTGCTCCAGGCTATTCCTAGGGATGCTAAAATGCACGAGAAGGTGATGCCAGTGAGCACACAATCCCCTGGGATACTGTCAGATTCCCATCTGGGAGCTCGGGGATGGGAGAGGTGGAGGGTCTGCATTGCCAGCTGACTCCCAGAGGTGCCCACACCGCTGGTTAGGGACTGGGCTTTGAGTGGCAAGGCTGGAGCATATTCCAGGCACTACTGGAGAACGGCCCCCAGAGGGTTGGGTATTTGATTCTGGGCCATGAAACCAAGGAATACAAATCACAAAGACAGTCTGTCTTCTCATGAATCAAAATGAATGGTACCACCTGAGTTTCACAATGGGCACTGTGGGGTGCGGGGTGGAAGATTTCACAACAGGTGCCTGTAGAGTGGGGGGTTTTTCCCTTTATTTCTGAAAAGTGCTTTTTTTTAAAAGAATCATTGGATATTTTATAACTTATAATAGCTATTATTAAGAAGAGCTTACGTGCCTCTCTCATTTAATTCCCATAGTAACTTGGAGACGGGTGCTTTTCTTTTTTGAGACAGGGTGTTGCTCTGTTGCCTAAGCTGGAGGGCAGTGGCGTGATCTTAGCTCAGTGCAGCCTTGACCTCCTGGGCTCAGGCAATCCTCCCACCTCAGCCTCCTGAGTAGCTGGGACTACGGGCTCACGCCACCAAGCCCAGCTAATTTTTTATTTTTGTAGAATCAGGGTCTTACTATATTGTCCACGCTGGTCTCCAACTCCTGGCTCCTTCTGCCTCGGCCTGACAAAGTGCTGGGATTATAGGAGTAAGCCACTGTGCCTGGCTGACTATTCTTATTTACATCTGATAGAGGAGGAACGAGGAGGTACAGAAGCTGGGAAGACGTACACCGCGGGTGAGGGCAGCAGTGTGGGAGCCCACACACTGGGAGGCCCAGGCCTCTGCCCACTTTCCGCCCACTGACTCCCATCCCCGGCTCTCCCAGTTTGCAGATAAAGGTGCAGGTCCAGGGTCATGCCCAGCACCTGCCCAGCGTCTCCCGGGGTGGGTAAGTCTTTGGGAAGCTGGAGCCCCGACGCCAGGCACAGGTTAGAAGATTCACATGTGCCTGCTGTAGCACAGGCTGCTCAAGGCTGGCACAAACTGAGTTAACTAGAAAGTGTCCTCTTCAGATGTGGCAGGAGCCACAAGCCACAGCTCTGCTGGGTGTCTGGCTCACAGGCGAGGCACCTAATTAGTTTTTCCATTGCTGGTCGGCCATCCGGCCAAACTCAGCCTCTTTTTCAAAAGGTCCAGTATAAAGTATTCTCTTCCATTGCCAAGTGGTGGTAGCTTTTTTCAGTGCTGATGCAATCATTTGATTCCTTCGGTTTCCCACCGCCAATTACAGAAATATTTTTAATGCAAGGAAACAAAGCTGACTAACTCGCTGTGTTTTCCCTCCTGGCCTCCCAACTCCTCCACTGCTGGTTTCGAATTCCCGTGGCCGAACTCCAGGCACCAGGCGGACGCAGCTGTGGAACACAGGAGAACTTCACCTACGGTGATCTCCCTTTTTGTCAAAGCATTCCACCTTCAATATTTTTTTGTTTTACATTTTTCAACAACAAAGTTGTTTTTTTGCTTAGCATCCAAGATGTGGAAAAAACAGGCCTGGGGCAAAAAAAATCTGCTATTAACTAATTTAAATTGACTCTGTGGCAGCAGAGTTTTGGTCCTATTGTGCGGCAAAGCTAATGAGATTCCACTGGGAGATAAAAGCCGCCCTCCCTCTAGGAGGAGGCCAGGAAGGGCACTAATGCTCCCAAGGAGAGGGAGGCGATTCACCCCACCAGTGAGTATGGGTTTGAAAAAAGGCTTGTAAAAAGATCAAAGGGATGCGAGCCCAAGGAAAGGGAGGGAGGAGAAGGCAGGAGAGTCACAGTGAGCCAGCGAGACTGGCCCTTGAAGCAGGAGGAATGTGGGCACAGGGAGACGGGTCTCACAAAGAGGGCAGAGGGCGACGCAGGGGAGGGGCTGCGCTGGGAGGTGCGCAGCTCACTGCAAAGCAGAGAAGTCGCAGATGCCCCATTCGGGGCGTGTCCCCCCCTCAATGGTGACCTGCAGTGATTGACTTTGAGAAGGGTGACATCTCCATTGCCAACAGTTCCAGTCTATTTGATCAATGTTACTTTCAGTTTTCCCCTGCCCTCTCTCAGCATATTCAAACCCAGGAGAGAACAGAGCTCAGGGATGGAGTAGGGACTCTTTCAAGAGACCTTGAAACAGCTGCCAGTCAAGCCGCTGGAAAAGGAGATGCCAGTCAAAACAGTTTCCCAAAGCTCCTCTGCCATATTGTGTGCAAGGAGCTCCTGACAGCCCCCCTCCTACAATCAGAGCTGGAGGGTGCTTCGGAGATCAGGAGTTATTTTAGCTAAATCCAAAGTGGCACTGCCTGCAATTACAGCAACGGTCCACATCACCATTTACTGAGCACTAACCTGGTGCAAGAGCTGGCCTACACCGCACAGTCCAGGGTGTGTGGCTCCCTTGACAGGACTGAGCCTCTGGATCTGGCCCTTGTGCGCTGTGTGACCTTGGGTGAGGATTAAATGGGCCAATGCAGGGACAGTGCACTGACAAACATTAAAGTGTCCGACACATGGCAGCCTCCACCAAATATGTCCCGTTGTGGTTTTTGGCCCACTGAATTCCCACGACGACCTTATGACAGAGGCATGCTCATGTTTGCCATTTCTAAGTCAGGGGCTAAGTCACAGGGAGGTGAAGTGACTTGCCCAAGCCAAGAAGCTGCTAGGTGGCAGGGAACCTTCTTGGCTTGGGCAAGTTCTGACCTTCTGAACGTTCCGACCTTCTGAACCCCAGCTTGAGTGCCTGACCCCAACGTCCCAAGTCTCATGGGCTCCCCACTCCAGGCCTTTTGGGGTGGACAGAGGCTGTGGGGGGATGAAGAAAGGTGCCATTTGCAGGCCCTCTCCTCCCCAGGAGGAACTGGAAGTCAGCACTTTTAGGATGGAGCTGGGACTGGATGCCAAATCTCCTCACTTCCACCCCAGTTCCTGTCACTGATGTTCCTTCCACTGCCCAGCCAGAAGCTTCAACCTCTCTGGCTCCCTGCCATGTGCCAACCCCAGCCCTCCAAGCAGTCTGACAGAGACAGCGGTGGGCCTCAAGAAGACCTCCAGATTGAATGAGTCTCCCTGCTGTGGACAAAGGAGAAATTGGGCAAAGACAAGGCAGCTGGATCACGTGGGCATGAACACACGTTCACTGAGGGAACGAAAAAGTGCAGTGTGAGAAAAGAGGTGGGGCGGGGAGGGCGGGATGGCCCTACTGTGTGCGCCAGATTCAGTGTGCATCGATTCAGTGTGCATCCTGCTGTGTGCCCCCGATTCAGTGTGCATCCTACTGTGCGCCCTGGATTCAGGCGTGTGTCCTGCTGTATTTCCCAGATTCAGGTGCACATCCTACTGTACACTCTGGATTCGGTGCGCACCCTACTGCACATCACGGATTCGGTATGCAGCACCCACTTGCTTTTTCCTACTCAGGCCCTCTCCCACTGTGAGGGCAAAGATAACAGGTTTAGGCCCAGCAAGACGATTTTTCCCTTAAATTCAACCCTCAGGGCCCAGGTTTTGTGTTGACCAGATGGAGGTTTGTTCTATAGCAGTAAGGGAAGAATAAAGGACATCGAGACGACACAGAGAGAATAGGGAGAAACCTTCTTAATACACTATTGTTCCTCAGCTGCTTCCTCTTGGAAAAGCAAGGGTCTGTTAGGCTCCTTGAAGGGGGAAAGTTGAGACGAAGACAATGCCAGTCACCAGCCTGGACAGGGAACAACAGTGTCATCCACAGCAAGACCCTTGTCCTCTGTTTCAGGGTGATCTTGTACTTGTCACCCAGGCTGGAGTGCGGTGGTCTGATCACAGTTCACCGCAGCCTCGAATTCCTGGGCTCAATGATCCTCCTGCCTCAGCCTCTCGAATAGCTGGGACTATAGACATACACTACCACATCTGGCTAATTTTGCTATTGTTAGCAGAAATGAGGTTTGTCCAAGCTGGTCTTGAACTCCTGGGCTCAAATGACCCTCTCGCCTCCCACAGGGCTGGGATTACAGGTGTGAGCCACCACGCCCAACCCAACCCTCCCGCCTCCCACAGTGCTGGGATTACAGGTGTGAGCCACCTGGAGCCATCACGCCCAGCCCAAACTTGCACTTCGTTCCTATCTTTTTTTTTCTCAGAATTTTCTGAATACTTTTAACTTGGGGTATTTGATTTGATTTAAATGGAAACTTACAGTTCCTGCTAGGTGTTCTGAAACAGGGGCGCTTGTGTTTCTCGGTGACCCAGGGATTGTCTTCAGGGGCTCCCGAGTACCCAAAGGCCCTGATCATCATCCTGCCCCTGGGGTCATGCTCCCGGGCCAGAGTGGAGGCTGGTGGTGCTGTATGCGGGTAAGGAACAGACTCTGGAGGCCGACTGCTGGGAATCGCCTTCCAGCCTCTCGATGGCGAACCAGGCTGGGGACCAGGACCCAGGGGTTCACAGGCTCCCTGAGATGATTCTGGGTGCAGGTGCAGGGGCTACTTTGGGCCACTGTTTGCTTCCCACCACAAGGGGGCAGGACTGTGGCTGAGTAGCACCCAGGAGCGCTGAGCTTGAACAAGGGATGCTCTTCTAATGCACCCACTGAGGGCATCATCTGCCAGCACACAGCCCACAAGGCCAAGCTAGAAGACTGGGCGCCTACCCCTGTTCAAAGTATTTCCCCAGAAGATTAGTAAATAGGAAAAGTTAAGTACTCAAGTGTTTAGAAGTTGCTTATTTAAAAGAGAAGCCTGGTAGGGATCCAGACTGTGGCTTCCCTCCAGCCAATCCCGGCTTCTACATACTATGAAGAGAAGATTCCCTTAGCCCTGGGTGAAAGTGTCAAAAAGACAGACAGAGGCAAACCGTCAGAAGACTGGGGTTTGACCTTGGGTTAGTGATGAATGGCCTGGGGGACATCTTTCCTACTGGCCCTTGGTAGAGAAGCATGAGGCTGGGGTGGGGCTGGGTGACTTTGCAGGCCCCTGTCACCTCCTGGCAGTGTTTGCAATGCTGTGCCCTGAAGTTTCTGCCCCAATCCAGGAACCCACCTGCTGCCCTGATGTGATGCACCCTCAGCTGGGCCTCAGATTCTGGGCCGGCTGAAAGAGCTTGAGAATTCAGCTCGGAACCAAGGAGACCATCTGCATGGCACTGTTCTCTGTGTGGGAAACCTCCATGCCACTCAGCCAGACTCTGGAGCACTCAGTAGCAGGCAGCAAAGCCAAAGGTGTGCTACGTGCAGGTGCCCAGGTGGTTCCCATGATGCCAAGATCAGAATGGACTTTCATTGGGTAGGTGTATTTTAATGTTACACAAGGAGATTAGCCCAAGAGTTTGGGTCTCCATTAAGAGTTTCGTCAAGGACAGAGCCACCCGTAAGGAGAGGGACAGTAGGAATCTCTTGGAAGGAGAGAAGTCTTTGTGGATCCTGCAGGCAAAGACATGAACTGAGTGTGTTAAATGTTTAAAGAGGCAGCCATCCCTGCCAGCAGTGTTGCTCTGAGGATGTGTGCTAGTTTGATGAAGAATATTTAAAACAGTCCCAGAAGTACTCATTCCATGAAAAGGGGGGCCATCATTATTTCAAAACTGGAATGCTATGAAGTCAGCCCTGACAGTGATGTTGGGGGTGATGGGGAATGCACAGAGACGAGCTTCTCAAATGGCGATGAAAGTACAGTAGAGCGGAAGCAGGGGATTTATTTTTTATTATGCAGCTCTCGTCTCTAATCTGTACCTCAGATTTGTATGCCACAGGTTCAGCGGGCCTAGCAGCCTGGATAGGAGGCATCGAAGCCTACAGGGACTCGGGATTACTTGGATGGGATCAATATTTCCTCTCTGCTTGATGAAGGAGCCATTTGCATTGGCTCTGAAGGGCTTATAACTGCTCACCAGAGCCAGGCCTGCTGCTCTGGGATGAGACCAGAGGCAAGGCTGCCTGAGCGGGAACTGGAGAGGTGAAGGCAGACATCGCTGCTTCATCTTGCCCAAAATCCCTGCTGATACTTTTGAGATCAAGCTTCGTCTGAGAGGGACGAGCCCGTGGATGTACTTCGAAAGATCTCTGGCACACACCAGGGCCTCTATAAATGAGGTGTGGTTTGGTTTGGGGGTTCCAAACTCATCCTCTTTAAAGTCCCAGTCAGGGTGCCACTGACGCCTAAAAGGAAAGCCCCCAAGTCCCTGGACCCTTGAGTGTAGGCTGGCTGCAGACGGCCTTTAGGGGTGATACGCCCCCGCTGGCCACTCCACAGCCACCTACGGGATCCTTCTGAACACCCTCGTGGGGCACATGAGGCCCTTTTGGACCTGGGTCTCAGCCACATTCCCCTTTAGCACCCCCGCTTATGTGGCAGCAATTCTGGCTCCTGGAGGAATCCACCTCCCGCCCCAACACATTTTCCTGGCTG